TCTTCTCTTGTGTTTGATTGCTTGGATAGTTGTTCTCTTGCTTCTTCAAGTATCCTTAGCTTGTATTTATAGCTTGGAATGTGTTTGATGTTGTATATAGTCATTGATGATGTTTTGGAGCCGTTTGAGGATGATTTTTCTACTCAAAAAGGCTACCCATAACATGGTGCATCGGTGCACTATCATGGTGCATCGATACCCCTTCATTAAATTCAAATAAACTAGCTGTTGCAGCCTTCGTGCATGGATGCACAGCAGGATGCATCGATGCACAGCCTTGATGCATCGATGCACAGTAGGATGCATCGATGCACTAATTGCATTCGGTGTTTGAGTGCATGGATGCATTGCATGGTGCATCGATGCACTAGTGCAGGTGCATGGATGCACTGCAGGGGTGCATGGATGCACTTTGACACCCTTTAGCATTTTGGCTCAAATCCGAATTAATGGACTTTGAATTATTTTTGAAACTTTTTAAAACTTTGAATAAATTCAATTAAGTCCAAAAACATTTTGTAAATTCAATTCAAGTCCAAAAATCATTTTACCTTAAATTGTTATATCAAAACATAGTTCAATAGAGATGCATTTCATAATAAGATTGATAAACGAAACGTCAAATCCCAAACCATGCATCACATCATAGATAAAGGTCCATTCAACTCATAAGGTCTCGCCCCTTATTGATGACATAAAAAATAAACATAATATGTCAAACTTTAAGTATTAGTCTTCGATCTAATCCAACCTATGAATTAATTTTAAGATAGTTGCATGTTCTTCTTAGGATCTTTCACGGTTCCCGACTCTTTACTCATATAGAAACGATGAACCACAAAACCTAGATCAATAACCATCATCTAAATCACTTTGAATTACCACTCTATCTGTTACACATCAATAATAATTTTATAGACGAATCATTGAAACTCTGAGATACAATGCGGTGGTTCTATCTTTATTTTATTCTTTTCTCTTTTCTCAAACCTATCATTGAAAAAATATTTAGTGTATTACTTTTACAAATTAAATAAAAGATTGACCTATTAGATACAAAGTGTTGCAAAGGAGGCATAGTACTAAATAGAGAGATATTTTGTTAACGTTGGAGCGAGAGAGAATGAAATGAAAATTCGATTTTATTATTTATGTTTTAAGATTATACATGTTCTATTAATGATTTATATTGATTTCATAATATTTTTTGGAGTTATGTATTTTCTTAGGATTAAACATTTTTATATAGGGTTGGACATTCAATCAAGTGTTGAGAGATGATAATGTACAACGAAGAATAAATAATTTGAGAGAAGAATAATGATTAAATTGATAAAAAATTTAAATATGAAGGATTTTAATATATCAAATTATTTTAAATCAAAATCAAGTTGAAGATAAATAGGGATCCATCAAACCAAAGCATATCTACTTAGCCAACCTAAATCAGCTAGTTGATAAGAATAGTCATAAAAGACTTTCTCAAAACTCATAAACTTTAATAAATTCTAAAAAAAATGATCCATAGGTTGGTTCTGGATTCGAGAGGATAGAGAGTCGGGTTTTGTTTATTTGTTTTCTGTTTTAATATTTCAGCCAGGGATATCTTCTAGAGTAAACTACATGTTTCTACTTAAAAAAAAATTCTTTCAAAATCACACATAACGTTTAGTTTTTGTTTCATTTTAGTACCAGTCGTTAAAAATTTAAGGGATAGGCTGATGTGGCATAGCTTCAGTGGACGGACGACCAATCCGAACAGTGGACCACGAGAGAATAACGAGTTGACCAATATAGTCTAGTTTCCTATGGGACGGTGAACCATAGAGATCAGAGGATGAAAAAAAATCAAAGAGTCAATCGTCGATTTGGGAAGATTGAGTCGTTTTCCGGTGAAACGGAGGTCGAAATCGCGTTCAGGGGGTCGTAAAGGTGTGGACTGAAAAGTTTAGGCTTCATCGGCCGACAATTGCCACAGTTAACGACTATAGGCACAACAATCAGTGAGCTTATCCGTTAAGTTTTTAACGAGAGTTTATTAAAATGAAACAAAAACTAAATATTATGTATGATTTAAAAAAATTAAAGTTTAGGTCCAAAATTTATGTACTAAAACAAATCAAAACTGATAGTTTAAGTATTAAATACGTAGTTTAACCTATCTTATATTATTTGAGAAATTTGAAAAATTGAAATCAGATTGTCTATAAATAATTACAATTAAATTTATATGTAAACTCAAATAACTCGATTCAATTTAAAAGACGACTGCATTTTAGTGCATTTATTATTATTATTTTTAACAAAGGGGAAAACAAATATAGGGTAAAATATAATAATGGTCACTAAACTTTTCTAACACTTGCATTTAAGTCCCCCAACTTTTAAAACTTGTAATACAATCCTCCAACATTTAGTTCATTTGTAATATGGTCCCTGACGTAATCGGCCGTTACATTGCCGTTAATACGTTTGCAATATGGTCATTGAACTTTTCAAGCGCTTGCATTTAGGTCCATCAACTTTTAAAACTTGCAACAAAATCCTCAATTTCATTATAAACCCCAAATTCCTTTTCGATCTCAAATTTTCTTTTTCGCTTCTCTCTTCTCATTTCTAGCATAACTTTTCAGTTGGGGATGCATGGGAAATTCTAATCTAACTTTGAATTCTGTGGAGGTGTTGACTTGAATAAGGGTCCATTAAGAGAAGACCCAACCAAGGGACTACCGGGACCATCAAAGATTCAAGGTATAATGTTAGATACATGTCATCTCAGGTGAATCATAGAAGTTCGATGAAATGCTTGTGAGAAAAAAAATGGGGTTAGAAATGCAGAGTTGACAAATACTACTAAGATGAACCAAGTATCATTGTTGAAAGTCACCAACAAAGCTGGAATTATTTTTTATAAATGACATAATAATTTCTTCGTTTAATCCTTGTGGTTTAAGATTTCCAACAGATGATCAAATATAATGAAATCCCAAACAATTCCTTCACCTCTCAGCCTCTTTCGCTCACATGCACTCTCGTTTGGTTTTTGTTCTTCAGTTTTTCGCCATGTAAAATTGTAAATCTAAGCAGTGCTCTGTCTTTAAGCTTTTTATTTACAAATAAAAAATGGAGGAAGAATTGCTGAAACGCAACACCGATTGCGTTTATTTCTTAGTCTCTCCCCTCACTTGCAAGAAGGTATTTATTTTCTCTATTGGGCTATCCGGAAGTAAGCTTTTCCTCTTTCGCACTTTCCCATTTTCAGCTCGCATTGTGTGTTTTTTGTTGAAATTTTTATGTTTTTTGAACTGCATGTCAAGAATCTATATATTCAGTGTTAGTTTTGAACCAAAACCATCTAATTTTCTTTCTTTCTTCTTAATCAAAACTTTTAGAACTCCTTATGAAAGATATTCAGTCCATCAGAATAGAAGTGAAAGAGGGTCCTAGGCTAAATTTTTTTTATCTTCTTGTTTGGTTTTTCTTTAAATCAGGGAATTGGTTGTGAGTATCGACACAGTGAAATCGCCAGACTCAATCCGAGAGACTGTTGGTACTAGTTTACTGGAATTGTATTAATTCGACCTGTGGTTTTCGACGTCCTGTGAGCTCGTATTCTTTTTAATAAGTTCATGTTGATTATGGGACCGATATATCATGAACGAATTGGATTTTTTTACATGTTTTGGAAATTTTACAGTTGAATCTGTATTGAATTATATCTTTAGAAGACAATTTTACATGCACACAACTCGAAAGGCATATCATGACATGGTAGTATATTTGGAGAAGCTACTTGATATGTTGCCCGATCATTGCACATTTGGACCTTCATTTCTGGCATATATATGTTTGTTGCACTGTCCTCTATGTTTTACAATGTCTTTTATTGCTGACATGCCATGAATTTACAATAATTATGGGGTCATATGATTTTAGTTCCGTTATCTTCTTTAGATTCTCATCATGCTTGGCTATTGAGGAACATTAAACATGGAGAATTAGAAGCAAATATATGTTAAAAGGGTAGGCCATCAATGCATTTGCAACTGGTAATGTTGTATTTTTCATCTAATGTCTATCTTAAACAACCCATTTGACGCCTTAGCTTTTGGAGTGACTATGACCGAACCTCTTTCCCTTTATTTATTAAGTCCTCCTTTTGAATGAGTTATTAATTGATATTCTTGGTTTATTTTCGTTATTGCTTGGCCGTATGTTGTAGTCATATGAACTAAAACTCTTTACTACTTCGCAGCCGTTGGATGTGCATACTCAAGTTCCATCCAAACATATTGGATTGTCATACCTAAGTCCAGCAGCTACGAACAAGACAAATTGGCCTTGTTACTTTTACTTCAACGATTTATGCAATAAACGTAATAGGTGCACTTTTCATGTTCAAAGTGTGGCAGCCGTTGAATGTGTATGCAACAAACCTCAAATTTATATTAAAGTAAATACTGTCAAATAGCAAATTCATGTTCAAAATTCCAAACACTTCAATTATATTTTAAACCCCAAATTCTAAAATACTTTAATTATATTCTGAACCCTAAATTAAAGTATTTTAGAATTTAGGGTTTAAAATATAATTGAATTATTTTAGAATTTGGGGTTTAGAATAAAATTAAGGATTGTATTGTAAGTTTTATAAGTTGGAGGACCTAAATACAAGCGCCTGAAAAATACAGTGATCATATTGCAAATGGACTAAATGTTGGAGGACTGCCGTGTCATCTTCTTCTAACGCAGTGTAATGGCATAAAATGGCCGGTTACGTTGGGGACCATATTACAAAAAGACTAAATGTTAGAGGGCTGTATTACAAATTTTAAAAGTTGGAAGACCTAAACTTCAGAAAAATTCAGTGACCATTATTATACTTTACCCATAAATATATTCCAACGCACTGAAGGTGCATTAGAATCCAAATGCATCCAATTTGTTATTGACTCGAAACAATCTCTTCTCCTCTCCTCTCATCCGAAACAACAAGCTATAAAGCTCCCCCACCACATCTTATCTCATCCACAACACACAAATGGCAACAACACTTTTCAATCTCTCATCACCTTCTTCGCCTTCTACTTTCCTCCATTCTTCAACAACTCTCAAACCCTTTTCTTCTTTCTCCACTAAACCAAAACTTCCCATCCACTTTACAAAGAAACCCATCTCTGTTTCAGCCACTTCTTTTCACTCACCACCACCAACTTGTGACCCTCCACCGGAGGTCCAGACCTTCTGGCAATGGTTCCAGGACCAGCGTGTAATCTCTGCCAAGTCTCCTGTAAGACCTGGAATGGTCCCTGAAGGACTTGGACTCATTGCGAAAAAGGACATTTCCAGGAACGAGGTTGTCTTGGAGATTCCTAATCGGTTTTGGATAAACCAGGATGCAGTTGCAGCTTCTGAGATTGGAAGTGTGTGTAGTGGATTGAAGCCTTGGGTGGCTGTTGCTTTGTTCTTGATCAGGGAGAAGTTGAGTAAAGATTCTGAATGGAGACTTTATCTAGATATACTTCCAGAGTCAACAGATTCCACTGTGTTTTGGTGGGTGTGGCTTGGTTTCTTCTTCTTTTTTCTTCTAAATCTGCAGCTTTGGTTATAATTCTATGTTTTAGTTGGATTTAGATCTTCGGGGTTGATGAAGTGTTGCTTTAATGGTTCCAGTGCAGGTCAGAAGAGGAGCTAGCTGAGCTTCAAGGTTAGCTTTTCATAGTCACACATGTTACTGTCAAGAAACTTATGTTTCATGTTTAATAAGCAAAATTGGAATTAGAGAAATAGAGTTTTTCGCTGATTTGAATAAGATTTTCATGGTCTCAGATGTTCTTGTTTCAGTTTTCATAGTTCATACTATATTCCAATGAGCAGTGTTGGGTTCAATGGCACAGGTACTCAACTGTTGAGCACAACATTGGGGGTGAAAGAATATGTCCGGAATGAATTCTTAAAAGTAAAGGAAGAAATAATACTCCCAAACAAGCAGCTATTTCCTGCCCTTATAACATTGGATGACTTCTTCTGGGCATTTGGTATTCTCAGATCAAGGGCATTTTCCCGTCTTCGTGGTCAGAATCTTGTTTTGATACCACTTGCAGACTTGGTAAGCCTCTTATCATTCTCCAAATTAGGTTGCAGATGAAAAAACACAGAATAAATGTGGAAACACGATCGAGTTCTCGTATAAAACATTTTACAGACACTAGTAAGTAGTCAGAAATAAACCAAGTTACATGCAAGCATGGGGCTATGTTTACTTTTACTATGGGAGATCAGTCCTGGAACTTATTCCCAGTAACTAACATGATATTTGCACACTCTTAACTTATTTATATTGTCTTTAGCTGCCTTTAGTTTCATGATTTAACTTTTCTTCAAGTCTTGTTTATTAATTAATCAGATCAACCACAGCCCTAGCATAACCACAGAAGATTATGCATGGGAGATTAAAGGAGCTGGGCTTTTCTCTAGGGATCTCCTGTTTTCTTTGCGTTCTCCTGTTTCTGTCAAGGCTGGACAGCAGGTGAGCATTTCCAATTTTATCTGAGAAGGTTCTTCCTTTTGCTTTCATCATCCACCTATCCCTTTTTTGCTTTTGACTAACTTGAACATGCATATTGCCAATTATACAAAGAATTATGAAATACGTTCAATTGTATGGACTGATTGAGAAGACAATTCAACAGGTTTTGATTCAATATGATCTAGACAAGAGTAATGCTGAGTTAGCACTTGATTATGGATTCATAGAATTGAAATCTGAGCGCAATGCTTACACCTTCACGTTGGAGATATCGGAGTCCGACCCATTTTTCGGAGACAAGCTCGACATTGCAGAGACAAACGGTTTGGGAGAGAGTGCCTATTTTGACATTGTTTTGGGTCGTCCTCTTCCACCGGCACTGATTCCATATCTACGACTGGTGGCACTTGGGGGAACAGATGCTTTCCTTTTGGAATCTATTTTTAGAAATACAATTTGGGGTCACCTGTATTTACCTGTAAGTCGTGCCAATGAAGAGCTCATATGTCGGGTTGTCCGCGACGCCTGCAAATCTGCGCTGTCTGGCTATCATACCACCATTGAAGAGGTAACAATGTATCTTTATTAAATCTGCAAATTCCACTGTCTCGAGGGGCGTGTCAACACTGAATACTTGTTAATTGCAGGATGAGAAACTGATGGAAGAGGGAAACCTTGATCCGAGGCAGAAAATTGCTGTAGGAGTAAGAGCAGGAGAAAAGAAGGTGCTGCAGCAAATTGATGAGATCTTTAAGGGAAGGGAATCAGAATTGGATTTGTTGGAATATTACCAAGAAAGAAGGCTCAAAGATCTTGGTCTTGTTGGAGAGCAAGGTGAACTCATCTTCTGGGAGACCAGCTAGGACATGTCAAAGACTTGCTGTATGTCGAGGTCCATGGCAATTCTATCCAAACTTTGTTGCCACACCATTTTAGACAATACCCTTCAATCATGTCTAGTGCTGTGCTGTAGGGAATTTTGCTTGGTAGATGATTTCTGTTGCCTGGTGGATACTCCTTTTATCAGCCATCTGCGTGAGCTATATATTTCTGAAGAAATTAATATTGAATCGCATAGACCATATCTGGTGACCCAATCGGCTTATAATTGTTAATGATTTCCTGGTTATGCATCCCTATTGTGTGATAATTTGTTCTAGGTTTAGAAGGTGTGAAATCAATTCTTCACATTGAGGCATTTGAGGGAATAGAGAGAAGGAAACTGTACAATATTGGTTAATTCAATAGTTGAATTTTGTGACAGTACTGAATACAAATCAACAGGTAAGAGGGTGATAAAAAAACAAATAAATTTATAAGCAAAAGTGGAAAAATATGTTTCCTTTTCCTTTTTGTGCCCAGATGGGAGCTGGAGGATTTTCTGCTGCCGTTTCTTACAGAACTCTTCCAAGTACATTTATACATGGTCGTTTAGGGCATTTGTCCCGAACCTGAATGAATATCGTGACAAAGTTTAAAAGGAGTTGTGTGAAACCATTTCGAGTCGTTTCAGAGCTGCTCACTCACAGACAGTGTAGCTTTAATTGATACATCAGGGGCTTCACAATTTGTTCCCTCACAAAGGCACTCTTGAGGATTTGCATAGAAATAATCTTCCTCCTTTGGTTTGTCTGGAATAACTCGACGACGGAAGGGCTGTCCCATCCGTTTTTCATGCGCTTGCCTTACGGTTAATGCAAAGTCATTCCATGGAAGTGTCCCATTCTGATGCAAATCCAGCAATTCAACAAGTTTCTTTCGATCTGGCAGGATACTCTTTTTGAACCCATGATACCTGAAGAAAAGCTTGTCAAGACTATGAATATAAATCCCCCACTGCCTCAGTACATAATTCGGAAAAATACATTACCTGCGATGACCTTCTACAACTTTGGCCATGTTCCCATCATATGTTGGAATGAAAGTATTGCTGGCAACTGATACCATAAAGTCCAATGCCGCCATCTGAGATGAATGGTTCTGAAATTGCTGCAGCTCCGCTGGATCTAACAGTGTTTCTTTCTTAACCTAAAATTGTAATAATGTCTTTGAGATCTACAAGAAGCATATGCAACATAACAACAACAATAAAAAAGGATGCCCGACTTAAAAGCCAAAACTAGAGATAACCCGACTACTTAATTGTTAAACATGCCCATTCAGTGGCTCAATTAAGCATAGTGAAAATGACTCATGATAAATGAACTCTCTGATATGGGTTAGTGTCTCATCACCATAGGAATAAAAAATGACTTCAATGACAAGATTTGGGTTCCCACAACAAATTCGTTGCAAAATTCTATCAAAAGCTTGGAGTTTCAATATCCAAAAAAAGTTGCTAAACATAGAATCCAGTGCTTTTATGAGCATTCAAGAAAACATATTAATTCCGAAAGCTACATATTTGAGGGGTCATAAACTTACAATCCGTGGAAATGCAGCTCTTAGTGGTGCTAATCTCCGTTCACTGCCGAAAATCTCACCAGAAGCAATATAAATCTGAGTTTCCTTATCAAAACCCAATGCTTGCAAAATTAATGTTGTTTCCTCCGGTGTCAGAGGGCACAAGCCTTGTTGTCTCCTCTCTTCAGATACTATCTCTTTCTCTCTCCACCAAGGGTATGCATACCTGAAAGGAATGGGTAGCTATCTAATTACATTTTGTTGTCATTCTCAGATACTTGTTATTGATAACGTTGAGATGATGAGGCACTTAATATAACAAAGTTAAGACTTACTTCTTGTCATCACTAATTATAATATTTTATGTAAGCTAACCAAGGCAGGGATACACCATGATCATATTTCTCAAAAGCTAAATTTGGTTATTGATAACTTCCAATGGTTGGAAGCATCTTAGCTTTACATTGAACTTCAGAAAAATGTCCATATTAGAAGCAGCACATGGCTTTCCTATCTTGTTTGCATGTGGCATGCTAGGGGTAACTAGTGCATGTCTGCTAAGTACTGGGAACATCAATCCTTGCTAAGATAATTTGAGTGTTTTGAAAGGAATCTATCAGCTTCAAACATGACAAACCTCATTCGTTTTAGCTCCTCGGCTTCTTCCACAGTGCAGCCATGTGTACAACCTGAGAAAGCCAACATGTCCATCTCATATCTTAGATGCAATGCCACAAAGGGTCCCTTTCCTTGAAGAATGTGAACCAATTTGTGCCCCAATGTCTCAATCTGAGGAGTAAATTTCAGTCCTTGGAAATTAACACGGCATCTTAGTTTCTGAAGATCGATTGGGATCCCATTATTTGCAAGTCGTGCGTCAGTTCTATTGAAGTGTACTACCTTATGCTTACTGAACAGGGGTAGAATCTGTAAAATAATGTCAAAGGCAATTGATTCTACTTCGTAACCAAAAAGAAGGAAAAGAAAGAATAAACACACAACACAATCTTATCCATCCATTGAGAGTTATTAATTTAATTTGTTGGAAATGTAAATTATATTATCAATAACGAGCAACAAACCTGTTCTAAGTAGTATTTTTCATTTGACCAGCTAACAGGAGGCATCTCAAAAGCTTCAAACCCATATTTCCTACTAAATCTCTTTGGCAGCCTTCTGATAATATGAACTTCATCCCTTAAAGAATCAATAAAATGTCTGACATCGAAAATATCATCAAAATCACTGCAAAAACAGATCACAAGTCAAAGACGCTGTGAAAGAAGGGAACAATAATGTAATCTTTTCAGAATGATAAACACACCTAGGATCTGCCCAGAATGATTTCTTATCAAGCTCCGGAACAACCAAAGTGAGATTTAAGAGTCTGGCAACAGTTACCATGTCACAGATCTAAAAATGCCAAACTGGGTTAATAATATACATAATGCCGAAAGGAACAAACAAAGTAAACCAGAGCTAGAGAAAAGATGCAGACCGCCGCACGCATTTGATTCAAGCCCCCATTGCAAGAAACTTTAAGAAAACCGTTACTTCTATAGTTTCCTGCAAATATACAAGAATGAATTTATTACTTTTCTAAGATCGAATGAAAAAGAAAAAACAGTTTTCCTTCAATAAAATCCATGGACTCATATACAAGGTATTCAATATCAGTGAACAAATCCTCGACTGCCGAATAAGAACAAGTTATGGAGGTTCTAGACTAGAGCATTACACAGCAACAACAATTTCCCCACAAAGCAATAACCCAGAAACTTAGTATCAGTGATGGCATTCCAACAATCAATTACGAAGCATGCTATAGTGAAATGTAAACTGAGGTTGCTTCTTAAAACCCTAATGAAACTACAAATTTCCTCATACCAATTATTTCTTAAATTCAAGAAATTTCCCAGACCACATCGAAATTATGAGAGAATCGAAGGGAAAAGAAGGAAATGAGGGATGTGGAGGTAAACTCACTGGGAGGAGCAAGAGCGGGAGGGGCATGGAGGGAGTGTTTAAAATCAGGAGGGGGACGCGTGATCCAGGAAACGCCGCTGGTAAAACCGGTGAGCAAACGAGGGTGCCATAGCTCGGCGACGGCGACGATGTGTACCAAACAAGTCCAAAGCAAAATGCTGGAACAAACTCTAAAAAACCAAACCCGAAGGCGAGTCCGATGAAGCGCTTGACTAGGAAGTTTGTCGGACCTCACTTGTTGTATATTATTCTCAGATCTAACCTCCATTTCTCTTCCTCGCTTCTCATTGCCGCTTCTTCATTTGAACAAATATCTATCAATTCAAGAAATACGCGATTTCCCTTTCTTTCTAAAAAAAACCCTAGAAAGATCACGAGTCTAAATGGCTAAAGCAAACAAATATCAAATTAATTTGAGAAGAAATAAAAAAAAATGAATCTCACCAACCAAACATATAATAACTGGGAAAACATTTTTTTTTGGCGGAGGAGGAAAAAGAAAACCGTTAAAAGTTACACTTTTATATTTTTCCCGTTTCTTGGATTTTAAAACATGATAGAAAGGCCTGTTTGGTTACCAAGAAAGATCAAGGAATTAAAGGGAAAATGGAAGTTAATTTTTTTTAACCCTTCGAATAAATCTAATCAATAATTTTTGTCAAATTTAACATTTACCGACCCTTTGAATCCCATCAAAAATCCATCTCACCGGCTATTTATACAAACCCCAACTATGTCCTCAAAAGCATCGATCAGCTGTGAGCCAAAAAAAGAATAAAATCAAACCTTTACACTAATGGAAGATGCTAAATACTATCTCACATCGCCACAGATTAGTTTCACGTCAACAACATGAAAGCATTAGCTGATTCACAAAACCACTTCTCCTTTAATGTGAAAGAAATACATACATTTATAACATATTATCATATAATAGGCTCATGATAAGATGTATACCTCTCATTCCGGAATCTCATTGGACATATATATAGGAATAACTGAGAACCAAAACCCTATTGCATCGAATCTGGTTCGATCTTGCTTCAAATATTCATATGCTTTTACTGCAAACATTGCTTTATATGCATGTTTCAAGTGGGTAAAAGTAGTGAAAAGTAGGTGTTAATTGCAGAGATATTCCATGAAATTAATGATACCAACAGCTTTGGATCATATATTCCATCCGCTCTTCCATTAATTCTAAATGATGATAATTTAAATTAATGATAATGTAACAAAAAACATAAATGGTTTTAAGAAAATTTAAGATTGTAATAGATTTTTTTTAATTTTCTTTTTGTAAATTTTAAATGATGATAATATAATTTTATGTTATCCAAATCATTATCAAATAAGACTAGTTTTTAACATTGAGAAACTCTTTTAAAAGTTAAAATCCAGATAAAATAAAAACTTTTTTTAAAAAAAACTAAAATTTATCTGATAAATAATTAATAGTTATCTATTATAACTTATTTGGATCTAACATCTCATAAAAACAAAACTCAAATATATATTTGTGCAGGAATCGTAGTTGAAATTGAGGCTTCGATTATGATTACTGGATCTGTCATAATCGTCGTTTTGATTGTGTGGGCATTGCCTCTTTTATCACAATCATTACGATTCGATATACAATCAGGAGAGATTAAATGCATCTCCGAAGATATCAAAAGAAATTCAATGACGATGAAAGCATATCATGTTATCAACCCTAAGACCCGTTTGATTCACGATATAATTCATTTCTTGGAGAAATATTTTTTTCTCGGAGAAATGAAATATACCTACGTTTCAATGGGTTACATTAGCAAGTGACAGTAAAAAAATTAAGACCAACAGTGATTTTTTTACTGTTTCCCGAGAATATCTATCCCATCTCCCTTGGATATTTCAGTATTTCCGTCTTCGTTGTCTAAAATAACCTTCTCTCCATTTCGTTCTTGCTGAAATCTTCTTGTTCGACTTAGTTATGGGTTTGTGTTCTCAAAATTGGAATTCCCAAAATTGAAATCCCTTTGCAAAGCCACTCGTTCCTTCCTCACGCTCCACCGTTGTAGCCTCCAACTGTGTGCTCTCGGTTCGCATTCGTCAACGGTTGCCGACTCATCACAGCGAAAGGAGGACAGGAAGAAGAATTTAGCTCTCGCTCCCTTTACAAAGTCACTCGCTGACAAAAAAGCTATGTAAGAAATCGAAGCTCATCCACAAAGGTATCTTTTTTTCCAATTTGTTCTTTTAATCAAAATCATTATATTCAAATTTTAGCCGTGAACATAGAAACCCAAAGCTGTAATTCAATGAAAAATATTCAGAAATAAATTTACAATAATCTGTGATATGATCTTAATTTTGGAAATTGTTGAATATTTTTAGATCAATCATCTATTAAATAACAATAATAGAGAAATCAATCGCATGATTTTAATCGATTAAAAACTATAAATTTCTTGTTTTTTTTTATTATATTTTCAGCGTCGAGTCTACTCCTTATCTTCTCCTCAACCTGTAAACCGTTGGCACTGCTGTGCTCACGCCTCTAGGAAGTTGCTTTGCCTGGTTAGTTTGCTTCGTTTTATCTTTTCCTTTGCATTTCCCTTCAAAATTTATAAAACATTACAAAATATTTCAAACTTTTCGAAACATTGGCATAAAAATAATTTAGAGTCCTCTGCAAATAACCTTGTTTTTCTACATAAACAATCTAAAGAATTTGAATTTGGTTCTTTAACTGATTTTGGAATATTTGTAATTGTTTAGATTTGTAAAAAGGTATGCTCTATTGTTCTACTCCCACTAATTGTTCTCTTGCTTTCCTTAAAATTTTCATGTGCTGCGTAGATTAAAACAAGTTCTGTTGCAAGCAGAAGAGGAACTAATGAAAAAACGTTCTTCCAAGCTTACCAATGAGGCAGCTGCCCCAAAACCTAAGAAAATTGTTGGCAAGATGAAGGTGCTTTAAGGGCATCTGCATTTAATTGTTTGTAACTAAAACATTTTGATTGTACTTATCTGTAGTATTGATTGGATATTTGTTTCTTCCAGTTTATCTTCCTTTTTAGTTATGGATTAGCCAACTTGTTATTTTTTTCTTTAATTTTCCAACATCCTTTCCTCTCTGTCCATACATGTCATTGGAAACATATGCTTGCATGCTGAGGCTGAAAAGTTCAACTGAAGAAAACAACATAAGAATGCAGCCAGGATCTGGTGAAACACATCTCTTGTATGCAACTATTCCTTAACTCTCTTGCTTTCTCTAAATTTCTCTAAGATTGTTACTGACAAGATAGGAACCGATACCTCTTGCAGCTTCCTAGATAGTTTAGGAGATGAACTAATTGTTGAAGTTCAAGACTCCAAGGGGAAGCATTTGGGTCGTGTCTTTGTACAAGTGGCTGCTGCTGCTGAAGATTTGGTATTGTTCCAAAATACTGACAATTAGTTCTACTTAATTTGTAATTTTATTTTATTTAATAATGTTCATATGAAAGTTGAATGTAGACTGACGAGTTGCGCTAGTAGTCTATTTACCGTGAGCCAGAACATGAACCTGTAGGCAAGCTTCAGCTGTATATATGCTACTCAACTTCAGATGATAATAGTCATCTCAAGGTGAACTAGTCTTGATTAACTTAAACTTTCAAATCGTAGTTTCTTAATTAACTGCATTGATGTCTGTAGCTCATAGTTTGAAGAAAGAAGGTTTGGTCCATTTGTTTGCTTTCAATTTGGTACCATTGTCAAACATTTAGTTGTTTAATCTAAAAATATGAATTAATTCTGCAATAGTTTTGTGATATTAATTGCATTCTTTTTTAGTGTGGTTATGTTGCAGAAACAGTTGCTTATGACCTTGTCTTGGAAGTTGCAATGAAGGTTCAATGATTCCAACAAAGAAATTTATAATTATATGGATCATGGAAATGGTTGTTAACAGAGTTTGCCTTGTATTATGGAGTTTCCAATGTCTACACCAAGCTAAGGTAATTGAATTTTTCCTTTTCTTTTATATTTTTGTCATGTTGGCATTCATATTTTAGAAGGTTACTGTTTTGGTCAATGTTTTTAGGTCTGGCATCTGTACATTTTTTACATGTATCTTTCTTATGTAATGGATGTGGCCACGCCTACTGCTGACTGTCTGGGATTGGTGCATGAATTGTTAGTGCCAGTTGTTATGAAGGGCCATACTAAAGGAGCATTGACTCATTAAGAGTTGTTATGTTGCATCGTAATGGGTATCAAGAATACCACATATTTTATATTCTGTTTATTACTATGTGCAAAATAAAATGAATCTGCTGTGTTGAAATAAAAAGGGTCTTGCAAAATCAATAGGTTGCTGTTGAAATAAAATGAATCTCTTTTGTATGTTGTTTTGTTCTCATTTACAAAAAAAAAATGTTTAAATTATAAAAACGAAAAATGTGCTAACATTTAATAAAGCATAAAAAATTATAAGAATCAACAAGTTTATTTTTCTAATACAAATATGATAAATAAAGTTTACTTGACTAATTCAAATAATTACAAGGTAGAATTGCATAATTTAAATATAACATATACACACACTTTCATTTACAGAGAATTCAGTAAAATAAGTAAGCATCATCCTACATTTTGGTAGGAGTAAAATGGTTCATCTATTAAAATTTTCATATGCTTATTTGGTTAAATGTTGATGTAAAATTTTAATATATTTTTAAATAAGTAATGTAAAAAATAATATTATTTTTATATAATTAAAATAATACATGATATATTTACTCTTTTATTCTACCCATTTATCTTTTAAATTTTATAAAAAATTTATATATAAATTTTATTAAAAAGTATATAAATTTAAAATAATAAATTAATATATTTTCGATGATTTTTTATATAAATATTTAGAATTTCACTTGTTAACACATATAGAACATGGATAATTTGGTAAAATATACGTTTCAGTAATCTCATATTCGTTCAACCAAACACTGTAATCATACATTCCTGCCAAACATAGCAAACACAATAATGTAACATTCCCTTGATAGTAATATATCAAGTAATGTTACATTCCGGTAATCTCATTCCCGGATGTAATGCTACATTCCATAAACCAAATGCACCTTAAGGAGGATCAGCTTTGGACTATTTTCAACCTCTTAACGTCAAGGTATTAATCTAGAAAGAAACTAAATCCACTTTTAATTTCACATTTTTACAGTGAATTTGAGGTGTGATAACAAGAAGTTTTGTGTGTGTGTGTGTTTTTTGGGTAATTTAACGAAGGTGACGTCAACGCATGGGTATATTATTCAGTCGGCGGAGAGAGTGGGAGGAGGGGAGTTTGTATTTACGGCGGCGGAGCAGGGAGATTACATGACTTGTTTTACCGCTCCCGATCATTCTCCATCGTTAACAATGACCATTGAATTTGAGTGGAGGACAAGTGTTCAGTTTAAAGAATGGGTTAATATAGCCAGAAAAGGCCAAGTGGATGTTAAGTCTTCACGATCTCCATTTATTTATAAAATTGTATTTTGAACATTTATAATTTCTCATCTACCAAGTGATCTAAATGATAAAAAAAAATATTTTTTAAATTCTCCTAAACTATAATTAAATAGTTGTGACAAAGTTCAGACCAGCACGCCGAGTGTGTACACAGAGTAAAAAATTTCATATATATATATATATTTTTTGCATTTTTTTAAAAATATTTTTAAATAAGCTATTACATATAATTATATTACTTTTAAAAATGAAGTTGCCTTGATATTTGCCCTAACTTCTCTAGGTGTATGCAATCCTATTCTTTTGAATAATTTATTAAATTTAGTTCAATGTATTAAGGATAAGAGAAAAAAAATTGTATACTTATTTTGCTTAAACTTGTTTTGTAAATACAGGAGATGGAACTGGAGCTGAGGAAGTTGCATCAAACTGTTAACTCCAATCATGAGGAAATGTTTTATTTCCGGGAAAGGTAGGCTAACATCTCTCTCTTAAACAGTTAAAACTAGTCGGATTCTGGTGTGAGTTGTTGATTATGTATATATATGTATTCATATATTTAGAGACATCGATTCCTTATACGATTATTTGTGTTTTCTCTGCACAGAAGAAGAAATGGAGGAGGAGCTGAACCAAGAGACTACCACCAAAATGGTCTTCTTGTCCTTCCTCTCGCTTTTTCTTGGCTTGTCAGTTGCAGGAATACAATACTGGTACTTGAAAACCTTCTTCCAAAAAAGCAAGCTCATTTTAGTTTGTTAGGCAACTTTTATTTTTTTGCATTCTCAAAATATTTTGGCAAAGTAATTTCTAGGTCTCAGAGATATATATCATTTGGAAGCTCATTTTGACAGCTGAAAGCTATCAAAGAAGTGGCAATGATTCTAAGGTTATGCCTTGCAAAATTAACAAACAAATGAAGCAAAAGATCGAAGAAATTTGCATAATCTGTAGACTGCAAGGGATACAATTGTAAAAGTAAAAAATTAACCCTGTCAAGATGAGGAAGAATTTTATGTATTGTCAGTTCTGGAGATTTTCTCATTCGTGTTAAAAAAAGTAAAGAAAGAAAACCACTTTCATGAATGAATTTGGAAAGAAGAAAGGAAATCCAGTCATGTGGAAGAATCTACTTATACCACTATTTATCTGCACAAATGGGAGAGCTGGAGTTGATCGAATTCATCAAATCTTTAATGTCATGGATTGAATATATGCCAAGAATGATCGCTGTGTCCATTTTCCTTCGTCTTCTCAAGCGTCTTGAGAATATCCAAGAACGTTGGTCTGTGGTTCATGTCAGGAGCCCAACACTTGCCTGTTAAGCTAAGCAAATATTCAACAAGAATAACAATTAGCAGCCCCATTTGTCCAAGTGCACCACTCCAATTGTTTGTTTTGGAATGAAGATAAATTCAGTACTTAAGAAACTTTATTAACATTGATTACTAAACATCTTTGAAAAGAATTTATTGGCATTAATACTAACAATATGCAAATCTTCATGCAGACGTACATGGTAATTCATGTAACCAACTTGTCGTTCTGAAGCTCAAGTTGTGGTTGGAATTTGTTAATGTTGTAACGCACAAACCATGAAACTTTATAGCAAAATAGAAAGTTTTAGAGATGGCTTACTCTCTTAGTTCAGAGACAAATGACTTTGAGCGGAAATTAGGCCGGTGTCCGTCTGCAACAAACTTGGCTGCTTCATAAGGCTCATGATTTGCGAATGGTGGTTCTCCTTCAATCATCTGCTCCATGTAAGTATATCATCTATAAGAAGTGGACTCAAATATTATCATGATCGACACCATGTAGAGAGGAAGAAGAAATTACCTCGTAAAAAACCATCGCAAAAGAGAAAACATCAACCTTTTTATCGTATTTCCGGTGCTTGAAAACTTCAGGAGCCATATAACGATCTATTCCAGTTCCAAGTAAAGAAAGTAAGTATCTGAGAATCATATTTCAGTAAAATGTAATCTTTGTGAGACTCACAACTCCCTGTCTCGCCAGTCATTTTGTAGACATCGTGAGAATTTTGAACTTTAATGAGCTTGCTCAGTCCAAAGTCTCCAACTTTCAAATGGTCTGCGCTGGAGTTTACCAGAAGCACATTCCTGAAAGAAAGAAATAAATTTTGATATGAAAATGTCAATGCAATTCAAAGTTTACTCGTGGAAGCGAAAAAGAAAGAAAGAAACTAGAGAATTGGGAAAAATGTTGTGCTTTGAGGGGAGGGGGGGGGGAATAAGTCCATTAAGCATTCAAATCATAGAGCCTTAACCAATAGATTGTAGAACAAAAACAGGATTGTTCCTCAGCAAAACTGAAACAGAAACCGACTCACCTTGGTTTTAGGTCTCGATGAATTATGACATTTGGCTCATTGTGAAGATAAGCCATACCCCTGAGAACAAAATTTATAAAATGCAGATTAGCAAAAATAGGCATGTATACATATGAGAGAAAACAAATGCACTCACATGGCAAATACATATTTTTGTAGATCACTACCTATCAAACGGAAGGGAAGCTCAAAACCAAAGACAAATAACGATTTCATCCTAATTAAGAAAATAAACATGATTTATGTCACGCTATAACATATTATCTCATTCTTTTCCTCCAAGTTTTACATACATGTCAAGAGCATTACACATAGAGCGGCTCTGGTTAGGTAGCTTCAAAGAGAAGCTTTCTTATATACCTAGCAATGTCCATCGCGAAGTTGACGGCTGCTGATGAATTTAGTCCATTCTTTTCCTTGAGATACTGATGAAGATCACCCTGTAGTAGCATATATGTGTATGATAAGATAAACTTAAATTCCTATTTAGAATATTTTAGAGCGAGAACTAAACTATTAAGAATGAGAATCATATATATATGCATCCCGTACCCCTCTTAAATACTCAGTAATTAACATAAGAGGCTTCTTCTCAGTCACAGCTCCGAGAAATTGAACTATATTAGGATGACGGGGCTTTACGAGCAAATTCACTTCATGCCGGAAATCCTGACTGAACCAAGCGCAGCAGAAACATACAAAAAGTAACGATCTTAATACCAAAAAAAAAAAGAGAGAGGGAGGGAACTGATCACAGCTCGTAGCATCATATAAACCATGATAAATGTGGAAGCGGCTTTCAAAATTAAAGCTAATCAATAAAGAAATATTTTCACGACTTTTTGGGTGAATTCATGTCAGTTTTGTCTTTTTCGTAGGTCAGTATTCATTGTCATTTGTCAATAAGAACGTTATTTTCAACTTATGACATGCACTGTATCAAAGAATGCAAACTTTCGTGGAAAGAACTCCGGAGCAAACTGTAGAGATATATTCAAAATATAGTTCCCTTACATCACCAATCTGTCATCTGAAAGTGATGGAAGAATGCGTTTGACAGCTACAGGTGTTCCTCGCCAAGTGGCCTTTAAAATCTCACCAAATGACCCCTGGAAATGTGAGACAAAAATCAATGAAAGCACACATTGTATAAGGAAAATTAGAGAAGGTACTTGCATGCTAAATTTCTCATGACCAAAACTTAAACCGCTCATAATGAATACAAGTTCAAAACTGATAGATTGTAAGTTAGCAATGTTAATAAATAGAGATCACACCTTCCCTATGATATTTGAATGCGAGAAGTCCAGCTCTGAAGGGTCAATTTCCCAGTCACACTTGTTTGGTTGAGGGGGTGGAACTGGCCTTGGCTCAAAATGGCTTCCGTTTTGGCCCTGCGGCAATGAAAACTTTGTAACTTCTGTCCCATAAAAGTAGTTAAAATGCGACCTCACAAGTCTAAAATGGTTTTCATCAATTAAACTCGTTTATCTAGCTCCAGCATTAATCAGATCACAGGAGATAATGAATAAGGAATAAGAGCCCAAAATCAGTGAACAATTCATATTTTAAGGAAATTGTTCAGGAATTACTGTAAAAAGAAGAAGAAGAAGAAGAAGAAGAAGAAGAAGCATAGTTACATCAATGAGCATGGATATGGAAACACACAACAATCGGATCAAGCAGCCATCTCTAATATGATATGCCTTGGACAACATTATTACTTGCTACGTTAGATTAGTCCATGAAAGTCTGGCCAAATATGATCACAAAAAGGTCATAATCAAAGTTCCATTTCCCACTACCAATTATCCATCGTATTGTTCAAGCTGGATATTAAAGCTAATTACAATGAAGAAGAGCATTTTAAAGAACAGGCATTTTAGGAATTCTGATCATTTTAGACTGACTATTGCAAGAAGATGGTTCAAAAAATACTCGAGCAATGAAAAACGCCAAGTTGAAAGCTAAACTTACGTAAGATAATCCACCATATGATTTTAATAGCTCCATCATTCTATGTTTCTTAGCTCCTTCTGCGTCAGCTAAAGGCTGCAATTACCAAAACAACAACAACAACAAACTTACGGTTAATTAAATCCAAAAAAAAGGAAAAAATATGGAAATTGTGAAAGCGAGGACGAAAGAAGAGGCACCGTATTCCTCCATCGATCTTGGGAGTTGACATCGGCGCCAAACTCGAGGAGGCACTTGGCTACCTCGATCCAGCCAAGGAGAGAAGCAACGTGGAGAGGCGTACGGTTATCGTAGTCCCTAGCATTGACCAAAGACCCGTCCTCCTCGAGAAGCTTGCGTACAGCGGAGGCATCATTCTGATGAGCATGCCATAAGATCTGCGAAGTCCTGCTGAGTCTGGCCTTCTCCTTTAGCTTGCCCGCCGAGCCCGAGTTCCCGCTCGATCCGCCGGATGAGCTCATCGTCGTCAAATATCTGTCGATCTCTTGGGAAACGTTTCTGGTTTGTGCAATTGAATAAAAATAAAAAATAAAATCATTTGTTTCATCATCCCTTATAAAACCGTTTTACTTTTTCAACAGAAAAGATTCTTCTACCCATCCCCCACCTTTTCGTTATTCCGTAGATATTGTATTTCCAATCCTTTTTTTTCTTACTATTAATATTTATCAACTTTTTTTCTCTTTAATATTTTTTATTAGTTTGAATGAACATAAGGTGGTATATGTCTAAAATACTCTTAATTATCTGACAATCAACGTTCAAATACCTCTACAAATGTCGTACTTAAACACTAAATCTCTAAAAATAATAATAATCTCTTTAACCACTGATGTTGATTGATTCGTACGTCAATATTCTCTTAATTGCATACACCATGAGGTGCATATTGTATTTCTAGTATTTTATTACGATGGCCATATAATTTTTTTTTATATGTTTAGTTTTTTATGATCTTTACGTCGTAACTGTGTTTTACGTAATTCATTATGGTAATTTAATATAGGGAATAATTTATTTGTTTTTTGTGTGAAGTTCTTATTATTTTTTTTCATGTGTAAAATATTTTAGATTTATATCTTTTACACGTTGATAATTCATTTGACCAATCTGAACCAACAGCTGCTTGATCTTCTGCAACAGAAATTAAGATTTAGAATATGTTTCAGTACACGTGATACAATCAGAAGTTGCTCATGTACTCCGACTCCTATGAGTTTAACATTTGTTATGTTATTCGAACTCTTGTATAATCTTCTAAATGTATAGAAAAACTTAATATAAAGTTCGAGCATTGAGTAACAAAGGAGGAAACAGAACAACAACGATATTTTCTCTTATTTTATTGACAGTGTTCAAGGTTGAGCAGTAGATACAAGAGGAGCAGATATTTTTAATTGCCTTTGTTTGCAGCATATTCGTTCAACTTTCTCCATTTAGGGTAAATTTTTTAGCAAAATCTAACTAAAAGTTTGCGAAACAATCAATGGACTCAACTCAATAGTATAAATTTACAAAAGCAGACTTAATAGGCACCCCAGCTGAGAAACAATAGAGTTTTCAAGCATGAGGTTGATGCAAAACCTGGTCCTTCTCTTGAATCAAACATATCAACTGGTCCTCCTACTTGTTTCCCCAAAACGTGTAGGGAGCAAATATGCTTATGTCATTAAGCATTTCCTTTATTTATTTATTTATTTATTTATTTGAATAGTCTGAAGTGATTACAATATAGTATTTATTAAAAAAAATTCTTCATCTATCGACAACGCGCACATACCTTATAGACCCAGCTGCTCGAATCCGAGTTCTCTAGAAAAAACAACATTCTCTTTTATCAGTTATTTTATCAGGCCACTAACTAGTTCCCTTGAAATTTAATGAAAACTCTCACAATTCCAGTTTGGTTCAAAGAAGTTTGTAGCAAAAAACAAATGGAAGGCGCTGCTGATGTTGAGAGCAGAGTCTAAAAGGATTAAAAGGACAGGACAGTAATTTAACGGATTAATAAGTATGGTTCTGTATATATTCAATGAAAGGACAGGAGCAATCAACAATGGATTTTTTCAATGAAAAACGGATAAATAAGTATGATTCTGGATTCATATGATCCTTCTGCAACAAAAAGAACTAGAAGGACAGGAAGGACAGGAAGGTAATTTAACGCTTTCCAACAAACATAATATTCCACACCAATGCATTCTCAAGATCAACCAATATAGTCCAAACTCTATTTTTTACTTTTGTATAGAGCGCTTATAAAGTACAAAAGGAAGTACATTGAAAAAAAGGAAGAACATGAAATGATCCAGCAACTTGAACCGATTAAATCAGAAATTCTACCTTACATAACTGATGAACATTTATATGCATTTATATCAAATCAAATTGGTTTATGTCTAGCCTTACAAGAAATTATGCACCTTTTGAAGAGTTACGAGCATCATATTTAGCAAATCACGAGCAGCAAACCCTCCTGCTTGTTGGACTTCTGCGGAAACAACAGCAATTGCTCCGCATCGGTAATCCGAGAATGGAACTGTAAACTGTATCTGAATCTACTCAATGTGGTATCATTTCATGATATGAACTCAATAAAATATTAGCCAAGAGCATAACAATGCACATGATGATGCCATTGAACACCCAACAATTCATCAGACCATTGACTAACGTTCACCAGCTGAAGTTTCTGCAGCGTGCGATCTGCAACTGAAATAGAAAACCGTACTCATAATGGAATCGATAAGCATCACGAACGAAAACATTACCACCAACAAAGGCCCTTCCCAGATCCTGGAAGACCCATCTCCATAACTCAACGTCTTTACCCTATGATCAAACAACCCAGTCACAAATGTCAAGCCAATTGTAGATCCAAGAAATATCAACATACCAACCTGAGCCTGAGCCTTGATTAGAACAAAGGCCCGAACCAATGCCTGTATTCCCGAAACTTCCTCTAACACACAGATTACAATCCCAACATTGCAGACAACGATAGCATTTGCGAAAACGATGGAGAATACCAGCCCCATCATTATCATCGCATAGACAATTATATCAGGCGAAAACCCAATAGCAGAAAGCAAATTACACGCCACAACAAGAAAAACGAAGAAAGTTGTTACACAACCAACGATAACCATAGACATCCACAAATAGGTAGAAACAAGTGGCTTCCAAAGCTTCCTAATTATCACAAAAAACTTCGAAGCATCAGGTGATTCCTTCAAATAAGTACAATCCACACAATAAACCACTGCAGCCTTTGATAACAAGGCAAATGGAAGCAACAAAGGGAAGCACATTACTGAGGAAACAGCGGTCTCAGCAAAATGTTGGCACGACTGTTTGATAAAAGGTCTCAATGGAACTCCACTGGTTTCGGCAGCTAACATAAGCCTAACTGTTAGACTTTTCACAATGGATTGACCAACTATCAAATTAGAAGACATAAGCATTGCAGATAAAGGGCAAATAAACAAAGCTAAAATGATCATAAAACCAGAACAGTTGTACCGTAAGATCCTAACGGTTTCTCTTAAGATCTCCAAAGCATTCATGGAATGGAATCGGTGGTTAGGATCAGTAGCATCATGTGATGATTCTAGCTCAAAATTTGCACCATGGGTTTCCTTTAGTCCTTCCTTTTCTAAATGATCAGATCTCATTCGTGGAGAAGTAACGCTAGAGATTTCCATTATAGCCAATACCCAGAAACTATCAATCCATCCGGGAAGCTGAAAAAAAGGTGTAAATCAGACCTGAAAGAGCTAAGACACGCCTCTGTAACTTCGGAGAAGTCCTAGAAAACCACAGTGTGTGAACACACTCAAATAGCGAATTAGAACCAAAAGCAAGAAGATTAGATTGGGAGATGAGACGGAGATTCTCGAGTATTCGATGTCAAATAATAAGAAAAGAGAAGGGATTACTATATGGCTAATGAGTAACGAAATTGGGTACCATTTTCGGGGAGGCATGCATTGACGCCGACGATCGTCGGTGAGAAGCAGCTTATAATGGGCATTTATGATTTTTCTAGATAAAGAAATTTCAGTCGACATGATTTGGATTTGAAACTTGGAAGGTTACAGCAGGCTTACAGCCATGGAGGGGCCTCAGCTTTAGCAAGCGACAAGAGGCCCAAGACTGGCATTATATTATAGTATTATTTTATTGAAGTTATAGAAGGCAATAATCTTGTACTAGTGTTTCCCTATTCCGGCTCTCGGCTAAATTAGCCGTATATCCCTATAAAAATTAAATATTAAAATAACTAATTTTTAATTAATTATTAATAAAGATATTATAGTATTTTAAACACAACCGGGGCATTTAAATTCATAATATATTAAATTTAAACATAATTGTGTCGGTGTATGATTGAACTTTTATTTATATACGGGATACTTAATTTTTTTTTTAAAAAAAAGCCGAATGATTGGACATGCTTTTAGACATGTAACACAATGGTAAAAAAAAAAGCACATCCAATTATACGTGTCTTTAATAAATTTTGAATTTCGAACGAACATTTTATAGCGGAAATCACTCAAGTGGAACAAATACTCTCCTCACTAGTCACTACAACTATAGCATCATTGGATCCTTAAAACTTGAGTTGTCTCGCTCTACGTCATGTCGCATTTGGATAACCAATTCATGTAAAAGAAATAGATCAAACTCTCGAAACGATAGCTCTATTGGATCGACTAAAAAATTCTAACCCTAAACCTTTATCATACAGTGGTGGTAGACTTTATCTACAAGAACATCGAGCCCAATAGACTAGAAACCTAGACCTCAACTTCAAGGTTTTCTACCTACATAAAAATCAAATGAAATTATTTAAAAGAAGTTATTTGAAATCCAAATTCTCTCAAAATACCCTTTAATCTTAATATCACCATTGGAGGAGATGGTGAAATTTTAGTGAAGCTCATGATCAATAAATTATTAACATTATCTCAAAATTTTCGATTAAGAAGAAAGAGATGAAGGTGAAGCTTTTCTTAAAGTTCTCTTGCTTAAAAGAAGAGAAAATAAGAAGAATATATATTATGAGAGATGTGAAAAAGGGTGTATAGGGAAAAGAAATAATCTGTGTCACAAATGACCATTCCCAAATCCCTTAATTTCAACCATGATTTTATTTAATGGGCAAATAACACTTTACGTCTCTCCTCTTTCAATTGAAGCTAAAAAAACATTATTTTTACTTTTATTTAGGCTAAATTCTCATCCAATTAAACTTAAATTTGACCCATTAAACTTTGATACTATAATTACTTTGTTCATCCTAATCTCGGGACAATGCTTGAATATTGTCTCAAAATTTTGGATAGTTATAATTTATATATTAAGTATGTGTGTTTAAAATTTAATCACATTTTAAATATATTGTTTTACAAAGGATCTCAAAATGATTACATAAATAACATTGGCACCTACTTTAATAAAACAAAATTTAAACACCTAAATCAAAAGATTTAATATATAAAAAGTGTTTAAACTATACTTTTTATTATTTAGGTGCCTGAACTTTTTCCGGTCAATTCAGGTTCCTAACGTAACAAACTTTATAATTTTAAGTATCTCGGTTATAACAACCGTTAAAAATGTTCTTTAAATGACACATGTCATATTCTATTAATTTTAAAAAGTTTATTTTTAAAAAAATAAAAATATTATTATGTATATATATTTTTTTTAAAAACCCTAATTTCTCTAAAATTAAAAAAAAACCTCAAAATTTCTTCACCGACTGCCTACCCACTCGTCGACGAGTCCCCAGGGTGGACCATTCCTATTGGGATTAAAGATGAAGCTTGATCGAAAAACTGATTAATTTACCAAGAGGGGGTGAATTTGCTTTTTGAGTTTAAGGAGTAAGGAGTATAAAGATGAAACAATTTGCACAATAATTTATAGTGGTTCGACTTCTCAATCAAGTCTATATCCACTACCTAAGCTCCTCATGATTTTCTAACAAATTCACTAATTTGTTCTCTTTTTTCTAAGATAAAGAGATAACATTTACAACTCCCTAGCTTTTGAAACGCTAAGCTATGATCAATCCCCTCTTCACAAGGAATAAAAGATGTAAATAAGAAAACCTCTTAAAGGAATGTGTTTACAAAAATTAAGCTTACTAAAACACTAATATTTACAAGAGAAAGGAAAATAAGAATGAAAAACTCTTCTTTTGTGTTTGATTGCTTGGATAGGTGTTCATTAACCTTCTTCAAGTGTCATCAACTTGTTTTTATATGTTGGAATGCATTTGTGTCCGTTTATAGCCGTTGGGGATGTTTTGGAGCCGTTGGAAATTAATTTTATGCAAAATAAAACTGCCCAGGACAAGGAGTATCGATACTCCTTTAATGAGTATAGGTACTTCCTTTGTAAAATTTAAATAAACTAGCCGTTAAAGACCGTTGAGCTTGACCAGTATTGATACTATGCTTCATGGTATCGATACCACTGTGTAAAGTAGTATCGGTCTCCATTGAGTATTGATACCTATTTTGTATTATGAAATTTGAGCAATTTAAAAAACAACTGGTAGTATCGATACTACCGAGAGAGTATCGATACTTCTCTTACCTTTTGTATCGATATCACATGAACAATATCGATATTGTTCATGTAGTATCGATACTGTAAGAACAGTATCGTTACTACGTACCCATAAAACATTTTTGTGCTCAAATTCTAGTTTAATGGACTTTAAATTATTTTTGAAAACTTTGAACAAATTCAATCAAGTCTAAAAACATTTTACCTTAATTTGTTATATCAAAATATTATAAAACATGGTTCAACAATTCATCTTGTTATTGTCCCAATCCCCTAATCAAATATTCAAATCCCTAAAATTTCCTTAAACCCTTTTGGTAAGTCGTTTAAGTAGTAATAGTCTGCCGACGAATTAGTAATAAAGAAGTTGTGCTTAAGGTGAAAGCAATTCCTTAAAAATATTTTTTTAAAAAATATTTTTAAGAAATATAAACTCAACACGTGTAATTTAACATGATTTTTAACGATAATTGTAATAAAGATACTTAAAATGATAACGTTTATAATATTAAATACTTAAATTGACAAAAAAATATTTAGAGACCTAGCTAAAAAAATACAATTTAAACAATTTTTTGTTGCGTTAAGCCGAAACAAAAATATATAATACAGACACATAAAGCCTTTTAAATAATGCATTAATTTAGTAATTTGTAAACAAATAGTTAATTTTTTTTTCATGGTAAACAAATATTATTATTTATGAATAATGTGCAATTGCAGCATCGAGTTGTCATATCCTTTAGGGCATTACCTCTTCTGGGTCAAAAGCTCCGATCTTTATCGTCTCCCCCTTCAGCCATGGCAACGCTAACACCTCCGCCGACGGCAGTCCATATCGACCTCTGGCCCATCCTCTCCGAGTCTAAACGCATAATCAATGCCCATTCCCGCCACTTCCTCGCTCTCTCCGTCCTCTTCCTCCTCCCTCTCTCCTTCTCCTTCTCCGCCTACCCTTTCATCGATAAACTATTTTCCCAATCCTCCCCACCCTCCATCGAATCCCACTTCAGTTTTCTCTACAACCCTTTTCAACTACAAAAGCCCCCAATCTTTCCCATTAAATACATCTTCACTCTCCTTTACAGCCTGTTCGTCTTCATCTTCTCTCTCCTCGCCACCGGTTCCATCACTTGCAGCGTTTTCCACGGCTTTTACGGCCGGCCCGTAAAGTTTGTATCTGCTATCAAATCATCTTTCACTACCTTCTTCCCTTTGCTCTCAACTTGTCTTGTGACGGAGCTTATCCTCTCTGGGATCCTTGTAATTCTCGGTTTAATCTTTTTGGGATTACTCAAATTAACCCAAGTTTTAGGCTTCCAAGTTAATTACTCTTCAACATATTTTCTTTCCCTCTGTTTATTTTTCCTTATTACTTTCATGTTTATTGTCCTCTATTTACAAGTTAAGTGGGCATTTGCTTATGTTGTTGTTGTAGTTGAATCAAGCTGGGGACTTGAACCATTAAAACGAAGTAAAAATTTAGTTAGGGGACTGAAAAGGGTTGCTTTTTCTATTCTTCTGTTTTTTGGGTTCTTCAGTGGGATTTTAACGTGGGTCTCAGCTGCTGGATGGGGTAATGTTGCTTCTGATAAATGGAAAAATTGGGCATTTATTCTGCACATTGTGCTCACATCTGCTTTGTTCATGTCGCTCATGCTTTCTTATTTGGCTGCAAGTACAGTTTTTTACATGTATTCCAAGGCTATACATGGAGAGCTTGCTTGGGAGATTGCTGAAGAGTTTGCAAGAGAGTATGTAAGCTTGCCTTTTGATGATGAGAAAGTTCCTCATGTTGTATCTGTTGTTAATGGTTGAAGAAAATAGGATATCTTTTACTCGTTTAGTGTCTGTTTACTTGTACATTAGAAAAGAAAGATGTGTGAAACAATGTTTAAAAAAGCCTTAATATATGTAATCATCGATAAATGTTGAATGTTCTTGAGTTTGTTGATATGTTGCTTGAATTGGATATGAGAGCATAGTATATGATTTGTGTAAGAAATATGTTGAAAATATGAGAATTGATTCATTTACTTGGGGAATTTTGGCTGTGTGTACAATGGAATCATGCTTGAAAAGCATGCAAGCATCTAGGACTATGGAAGCAATCCACTAATGAAGCTTCTAAGTTTGAGAATGCTCCAATTGAGATAAGCTTTTAACATTATTGCCATGATCATTTATCGTCAAATCTTGAAGTTGAAATATTTAGCAGATTCAGAGTGAAGGGGGAGGGCTTCGAGCCTTCGAAGTTGGAGGTAGGGAAGATTGTGTGCATGAATGTAATCCCCTCTCTGCTTTCTGAAGATATCAACTCTCTGCTATTCTGCTTAACCAATCTTCATGACTGAGCTAGTAGCTTACTTTGGTTTCTTTATCAAAGCCTAACTTTGGTTTTAGTGCAGAAAATTGGGTTTAGGGTGCGATTGGTTCCAATGACAGTAGCAATGAAATCTAGCATTGTAAGATTAAGCAAGTTCAGCTGGTATATCTTGAACAGGAAAACATTCAACAACGGATCAAACATCTGATTAAATAGAGTGAATTGTATTTATTAGATTTCAAGATTTTATTATCTCTTAAGACTTGTTTTATAAATTTATTCTATCATATAAATCTGACCACAAATGTACTTTTAGTAAATTAAAATTTTAATCAGCTTCTAAAGCCGAATCAAATGGTTGTGTTCTGATGGTTTAAGGTTCATAGGTTTAGTCTGTCCATTCAATTCGACTTTTTTATATTTAATTTATATTTATCTTTTTATTTGTATAATATAAAAATAAATATTTTGTATTTAAATTTATGAAGATAACTTTAAAAGCCATGTAAGAATTGTTGTTTATTTTTATTTAAAAATATTTATGGAAATGGTTTAAGTAATAAAAAAAATTAAATGAATATCATACAACGGCACCTTTGTATTTCGGTTATTGTGGTTAGGAGTGTAAATGATAATAGTCATAATTTTGAGTTTGATTTAAATTTAAAAAGTTCGAAATAGAGTTCAAGTCGAAACTTTACGAGTCCAAAATTATTAAGTTTGATTTAAACTTAAAATAAAAAATTCAAATTCAAATCGAACTCGAAAAAAGATGAAAATATATCACTTCCCTTCCTTTAAATTCCAGGCATTTGATATTTTAGTTCAATATTAAAAAAATAATCAGGAATAAAATTTTAGAGTAACTGTTGTTTTTTATATTTGAATTTTGAGTATTGACAATCTCAATTATCATATCTATTATTGCTAAAAAAAAGTTCAAATTACTCACGAGTTTATTTAATTAAATATCGTGTAATTCTTTTCAAATTATAAAAAATTCGAATTAAATTTAAATTAAATCTATTAAAATCAAATATTGAGAGAGCTTTGAGCTTTGGCCAAATCATTCTCAAATTACTTGCTATTTATACGTCTCATTTACAGTGCTAACTATGTTTACATTGGTCAGTTCGTTCTTCGTTATCTTCGCAACTTCTGTCTTTCCACTGTCACTCTTTTGCTTCTGCGATGACCACCCTTTACATGCCATTATTCAGATCATGCACCAATCTCAGATCACTAGCACAACTCCACGGCCACCTTTTCGTTACTGGGCTTCTCCATGATCCACTCCCTTCCACCAAGCTCATTGAATCCTATGCCCAAATGGGTTCCTTTCAATCTTCCAAACTTGTTTTCAAATCCTTCCCCAACCCAGATTCTTTCATGTGGGGTGTTCTAATAAAATGCTCTGTTTGGAGTAACTTATTTCAAGAAGCCATTTTTCTCTACCTCACTATGATAAAGAATGGCCGAGTCCATATCAGTAACTTCATATTTCCTTCGGTTCTCAGGGCTTGTTCTGGTTTTGGTGATCTGGTTATTGGTGAAATGGTCCATGGGACCATTATGAAAAATGGATTTGGAAAAGATTCTGTTATTCAATCTTCACTTCTCTCGTTGTACAGCGAAATGGGATGCTTAAGTAATGCTAAGAAAATGTTTGATGAAATGACTGTGAGAGACTTGGTTTCCTGGAGTTCGATTATTTTGAGTTACGTGGAGAATGAGAAGGTTAATGAAGGATTGGAGATGCTTCGTTTAATGGTTTTGGAAGGTATTAGACCGGACTCTGTAACAATGCTTAGTGTAGCAGAGGCTTGTGGTGACTTGGGGTTCTTAAAATTAGCAAGGTCTATCCATGGTTATATAGTGAGGAGGAAGATTGAAAGTGATGGATCATTGGCCAGTTCTCTTGTTGCAATGTATAGCAAATGTGGTGACTTGGGTAGTGCAGAGAGAATCTTTGTAAATGTAACGAAACGTAGTACTGCATTGTGGACATCGATTATTTGTAGCTACCATAGGAATGGTAGGTTTGTAGAAGCGTTACAATCCTTTGTTTCTATGTTAGACTCTCATGTCGAACCCAATTCAGTGACCATGATGAGTGTTTTAGGTTCTTTTGCAGGATTAGGCTGGCTTAGAGAAGGGAAGTTGGTTCATTGTTACATAATTAGGAGAGAAATGGATATTGACTATGATGTTTTAGGGCCAGTTTTCATAGAACTGTATATGAAATGTGGAAAGTTAAATTATTGTGAAAATATTCTTCGCATCGTCGAAGGAAGAAATATTGTGGCATGGAATATGATCATATCAATTTGTATTGAGAAAGGGTTGATAACAGAGGCATTGACACACTTTGTGCAAATGCTGACTAGGGGATTAATGCCTGACTCATTTAGCCTTGCAAGTTCTCTCTCAGCTTGTGCTGATGGAGGTTTATTGCTAGTTGGAGATCAGATACATGGTCATATCATCAAAAGAGGCCTTTCGCATGAGTTTGTCCAGAATGCACTAATTGATATGTACTCGAAATGTGGTTTAACAGAATTAGCATACATGATATTTGATGAGATCAAAGAGAAGAGTCTTGTAATGTGGAATTCTATGATTTGTGGATTCCATCAAAATGGAAATTCTGTGGAGGCAATTAGCCTCTTTGATCAAATGTACTTGAACGGTCTTGAGATGAACGATGTGACCTTCTTAAGTGTGCTTCAAGCATGCTCCAATATGGGTTACCTGGAGAAGGGAAAATGGCTTCACCACAAGCTCCTCACCTACGGTGTAAGGACGGATCTCTATATCGGTACAGCTTTAACTGATATGTATGCCAAGTGCGGAGACCTTCTAACAGCCCAAAGGGTTTTCAATAGCATGCCAGAAAAAAGTGTGGTGTCATGGACGGTCATGATTGCTGGATATGGAGCACACGGTAGGGTGACTGACGCCATCTCGCTGTTCAATCAGATGGTGGATTCAGGTGTAAGACCTAATCAAGTTACCTTCATGAACATTCTTTCGGCTTGCAGTCATGCAGGATCCATGGAAGATGGAAAATCATATTTTAAATCGATGAGGGATTTTGGTGTTGAGCCTAACTCAGAACATTATGCGTGTATGGTTGATCTTCTAAGTCGTGGTGGTTCCGTCAATGAAGCTTACAAAATCATCAAATCGATGCCATTTCCCGCAGATGCAAGCATCTGGAGTGCGCTACTCAATGGTTGTCGAATCCACCACAGGATGGACATGATTGAAACCATCAAAGAAGACCTTCTAAACATTCATACAGATGACACTGGATACTACACCTTGTTATCGAATATCTATGCCGAGGAAGGGAACTGGAAGGAATTTGAGAAGGTGCGATCTGTAATGAAAGGCATAGGTCTTAGGAAGGTTCCTGGTTATAGCTTAATTGAGCTTGATAAGAGAATTTATAGATTTGGAGTTGGATTTACTTCTGTTTTTCAAACTGAAGAACCTATTACTTTCTTGGAAAATTTCCAAAATTTGTCTCAAGAACATGTTTATTATTTAGAAAACCAATAATTTGATGATTGACAGCTCCATAACTTCCAAGGATGTTATTCACAGCATCAAGTTACCAATTTTATGTGGAATGATCAGGTAACAACGGAGTTATCTAATAGATCCTGGCATTGTGTACAAGCAATTTGCAGGGAAAGTTGTGCTTTGCAGGAAACAGGAAAGAATTACCTGAGCTGGTACTTCTCATATGATCAAATTGAGTCGAGTAAACTAGAGTGTTTTTATACACTTTCATAAACTTTTGCACGATTAATATTTTAATAATTTCATGGCATATTTCATGCTCCATTCAAATAGATCTTAGAGATCATGTATGTCAAGTTTTAAATAAATTCATCATGTCTAATTATTTAATTTTTTTTTAAAAAAAATCAGTCTTCAAATATCTATTAACAAAGATAATATTATAGATCAACATGATAAAAATATCACTTAGTTTAAAATCTCTTAATCACTGAGATCGTTTAATTCGTGCTTAAATATAATTTGATTTAACATAATTCTAATATATATATATATTAAATATAAAAACAATTGAATAAAATATTAATTTAATAATATAAAATCTAAGTAAAATTTAGTTAGATGTGATAAACATGTCTATCCGAAAAAATTCTGAACCCTAAAAATATCAAGAGCCAGGCCAATCAAAACATAAATGTGTGGCAAATTGAGGAGCTCAACTATCCAAAGAAACAGTACGTGTTGACGACACAATGAAGAAGTTAAGAGGGTGGTCCATACCCCATAAATATCCACAAATTGAGGTGCTCAACTATCCATAGAAACAGTACGTGTTGACGACACAATGAAGAAGTTAAGAGAGTGGTCCATACCCCATAAATATCCACATCATATAATCTATCTATATATTCATATTATCCTCATCAACTCACAAGCAAGAGATTAGCAGATCAACCAACAATGGAGAAAGACCACAAACCAACCAACTCCGACCTCTTCTCTAGCGCTAAGACGGTGGCCGACGCTGCGAAATTCTCGCTCAACAACGAAACCGACAAGTTCGACAAGGGCAAGGTTGCCGGCTCTGCTGCTGATCTCTTGGGCGCTGCCCAAGACTACGGGAAGCTGGATAAGAACACGGGTGTTGGCCAATACGTGGACAAGGCTGAGACTTACCTGCACCAGTACCAGACTTCCAATCAATCCGCCCCGGCCGCCAAGCCGGAGTCACATGAAGGTGAAAAAGGAAAAGAGTCTGCTGGAAGTGCTGCAGCATGTGGTGTTGGAGGTGCGGATTACATGAAGATGGCTCAAGGTTTCTTAGGCAAATAAAATTATGTATACAACTTATTAGACTTTGTTGGATGTCCCTGAGTGTTGTCTTACGCATATATATGTGTAATATGCAGTATTAATAAATTACTACTTACTACAATAATCCCAATCTGTGTGATCGGCGTTGTTATCAGAGTTGAAGAAATTACCATAATTTATGATATGTATATTCTTACACGAACTAAATTACCTCAATGATTAAAGAGATGGTTGTTATCTTTTAAAGATTTCTAGTTCAAACACCAAAGACTGCAATTGTGTTGGAACTTTTATTGTAAAATGATTGAAAATCTTTAAAATATATATTATTATTGTAATCACACTATATTGATAGGAAAAATAATATGTATATTCTTATTATATCTCATTCGAACTTATTTCATAATTTATGAAGATTATCTCAGTTTTCATATTACCCCGAATTAACTATGTGACATCCTACATCATTCATCTAATTATATGTTCTTGATATGATTAATGACAGACTCATGTGATAAGTCAATACTAAATCTATTGTCGAATAATTATATTCATCCAGTCTGTCAGTTCACAAGTTGACAGACTCATGTGATAAGTCAATACTAAATCTATTGTCGAATAATTATATTCATCCAGTCTGTCAGTTCACAAGTAGCCATCATGAACCTAGAATTAATATTCACATCAAATAAAAATTAGCCGACCCTTATTCCCATATATAATGGGATAAGGGGGAGGTAGGATAGTAGGCTGCTCCCATTGGGAGCAACTTTTGTAGGAGACCTCCGAATTATGAAATGCTCTCCGTGGGACTCGATCCCACGACCCAAAGATAAGAGCCTTGTGCTCTACCAACTGAGCTAAACTAAGATTAAAATGAAAAGATGATCTTTGTCTTCTAGTTTGATATTCATCTTTTTATATTTAGTATTTTTAACCGACCTATATTGATTGTTTACAAAACCGTCATAAATTATTGACTATAATTCTCTAAATAAAAAAATGAACTATTTTAATGACATGTATTATTTTTATTAGTTGTACCCATGTTCTAGGTGGTAGGAAGGACCTGTGATATGATTTCTAAACCTAAGGAGAACAAAAATGAAAACATCCATTCAATACACAAACACAAAAAATGTAAACAGATCTATTTATGGAATTTTAAATAAAAAATTAATGATAATCTATAATTATTCAAGGTTAGTACGAACCAAGCGACCTCAATAATTAAGGGATTTATTGTTATCTTTTGAGGTTTTAGGTTTAAGCACCGCATATACAAGGGTATAAGCGATCATTGCCAAAGAATTGAAAGTCTTTGAATATATACTACATTGTATTCACTCCGAATTTATAAAAAATAATAAAAAAGTGGGTAAAGAGGAGATTGATGGAAAAAAATAGGATGTCAAACAAGAAGAATGAGCTTTGGAAAGTATGGTAGTAGAATAGTATTGCATTAAAATGTTACCCTTGAGTTTGAGAAGATTAAAGTCAAACGGAAAGATGAAATGATTGACGAAGAATGTAAAATAATATTTAATAAAATATTAGTTGGAACTTATGCGGTTCATAAAATTAATAAAAAAATCATGATAACACAAAGTTAGAGATATCACGATGGGATGGCAAAAAAAAATTAAATTTCTAAAATTGAGTGATCAAATTAAAAGAACTTAAAATTTAATGACCAAAACACATGTTGGTAAATGCTGAGTGATAAATAATTTGTAGTTTACCCAAAAAAAATCAGTTATTCAGTTGGAGTGAAGGGGGAGTGCAAAGCGACGACGTTTTCTGGCAGACAAGGTTGCCTAGTTCTGGTTTTCATTTAAACAGTTTCTACGAAAGAGAGGAAGAAAAGAAAAATCTAAAATAACTTTTGTTTCTTTCTCGTTGGGTCTCTCCAAGTTCTCTCTTTTCACATTCACTGAGATTTAGTTCGTATTTTTTGGGTATAATTATTGCATGTTTATGCCGATTCTGAAACTGAAAGAAAAAGGGATTCAAATATATTTGAATTTTGAATAATTGTCTTCAATCTTCTAAAATCTTTTTCCTTTTTACATTGATTTTCAGGTTTGTTAGATTTATGGTGTAAGTAGTTAATACTTAAGAGCTAATTGCAGTTTTAATTATTGTTATTATTATTATTTTTATTATTCTGTCAAGATGTGGAATTTTTCTTGTAATACCATTGGAAGCATTGGGTTTAAGAGTTCGAAAGAGGCGAGTCAAGCTTGTTCCGAGTGTTCAGACGATGAGGTGTGTTCAAATGGTAGTAGTGATGAAGGATTAGAGTGTCCAATTTGTTGGGAATCTTTCAACATTGTTGAGAATGTGCCTTACGTCTTATGGTGTGGTCACACCCTTTGTCAAAATTGTGTCATGGGTCTCCAACCTGCTCTTATGAAACTCCACACTCAGCAAATCAAGATTCCCGTGTTCATTTCTTGCCCATGGTGCCACTTGCTATCGCTACGACTGGTTTATAAGGGGAACCTCAAGCTCCCTCGCAAGAATTTCTTCATTTTGTGGATGATTGAGAGCTTAAATGGGGATAGGTATGGCATTGCCAGGAGAAATCTGTCTGGGAACAGTCAGCTGCTGGGCTCTCCGAGATGTAATTTAATGTTTGGAAATCAAGCTAATCATGGTGTTGTTAGGACAGGGTCAGCTGCGAATCGTTCTGAACAAATTAGGTCTCTAGATAATTGAGTCAGAAATATTGCGGAAAGGCATCATTTCTCACTTCATAAATCATTGGATTTCTTCATTCACTTTACATCCAAGTTCCCTTTGGTCATCATTCTCCTCCTGGTCGTCTTCTTTGCAATACCAGGGAGTGCTGTTATCCTATTACTCTATTTGCTGGTGAAGGTTGTCTTTGCCATCCCTTCTTTCTTGGTAATGTACTTTGCATTCCCTATGATGGAAAGGCTGGTAAGAGAAATCACCTCATGAGATGTGGACTTGTTGTTTTCTCACTTCAGGATCTATGAAGTATATTGTGAACACATCTATTGGTGTAATCTGGTATCATCCTCTTTCGATGCTCACTCCACTGGTTTTACTTGAAATTTAGTAGCACCATTGCTGGTAACGTGGCTCTTTTAGTATCCTGAAGCTTTCAGATTAATGTATTATTTTCATGATGGACTGTGACCTCAGAAGCTTGTTTTGGAAATTGTGTTTATGCCCTTAATTAGATGTCATTGTCTCATTGAAATGGCACCTACCTGCTGTACAAGCTTGCGTTCTCCAAAGAATATATTTTGCAATTAATATTGGCGGTTACTTCAGTTTTGTTGTTGTTTATGATCATAATTTTTTCTGCGTTCTGATATAAAACCTTTTTACTTTATATTGTTGCAAATGATTCAAAGGTCAGATAAATGGTTTTGCCTGTTGTTTAATCTTTTAACCCTTGAAAATTACTTTTACTTATTGCAGCTTTTGTCATTGCGGCTATGCCTTTACTGCCTAGTATATGTAAACTGTTTTTTTTAACTATATCCGAATGCACAAAAGGCCTTGTTTTTGCTTAACTTGGTCTCATCTCTACTACTTGAATCTGATGAATTATTGAAATAATGTTTGCTGTACTAACCTTAAATGTTAGGCTAGTCATCATCTTATTCTTGTTCATGATATAGGAGATCTTTTTCATCTACCAAAAAGAAAAATTCAACTTAGGAACGTTGCGATTCTAATTCAGTATGGAGGCTTGCAATATTGTTTATCTTGTGGTGACAGTTTAATGTTATAATATGCACAAACTAAAGCCTTGGTAAGATGTAGTTAACTAAGGTTTCAAACTCTCAACATGTTCTTGTTATTCCCTAAATTTTTGGCAGTTCCAAGTACTAATTTATTATCAATCTTTAAGAGTATTCAAATTCCTTCATGATCAAATTAATATAAAACAATTTCTGCATTTTATCATCATATCATATAGCTAGCATTTTAAATTTTTTATTTTTTTTAACAGTCTTGTCCAAGACATCGGCTAGGATTTTCATAAATGATCACACCAAACATCAGTTGTCAGAATATTAGTAAAGCTACACAAGGTTGTTGAAGAATCTTCTTGATTGAAACAAGTGCTAGAGTCAAATTATGGTGTCTCTACTTGTGATTGGCATGCTTTAGTTAGTCACAGCATTGTGTAAATGATCTTCACATATGTAATTTCAAACTCATGACACTACATTATTAGTTAAATTCAACAGCAGAAGCATGTCTGTCTAGACGTTTATTTGTCGGCGACGAAAAAACAAATGTGTACACAGAAGTGTAACTGTCTCGAGAAAGTAAATGTTTTTCTTCTTTGAATCAAATTAAACACAAATTTGAGGAGTCACCACCAATCATTTAATGAGGTGTGATTGGTCACCAAAATGTTTGTTATTTTAATAAAATTCCTGAGAATAATATTAAAATAACACAACAAGGGTCTGCTTACCAGAGAATGAGTTCGGGAGTCGATTACGTGTGGTGAAGGATTAACAACCCCACAACGCCCAAAATTAGTACCTATGTTTATCAATTAATTGTCTTTGCAATAGAATTTATAAATTTATATTTTAATTTCATTTAAATCGTACAAATAAAAAATCTAAATTATTACTTAATATATTATTTATTAATATTATAGGTGTAAATAATCATGTATTAAAAATATTAAAGATCAAGGATTAAATTACAAAAAAATTCATATTAACATCCCTAAAAATATCACGAAATGTAGGTATTAATCATGTTATTTAACCTTAATTACCAATTAGGATTAAAAAACTATTAAAACCTAAGGGATTAAAACTGATATTTTACCCTAAATACTTATATATATGATTAATGATTAAAATAAAAACAAATAAAACTTGAAAACCAAATTAGGATTTACATAAACATGCTTTCAATGACTAAATTGAACAATTACAAAGTTATAGGGACCTCGGGTATAATTTAACCATGCCCGAATTTACACAAAGGCCCATCCCCAAAACGACATCGTTCGAGGAGGGGTATAAATAGC